ATTAAGCAAATTTCAAGAACCGCCTTCTTTCACCTTCGTAATATTGCAAAAATTAGGAGCATCCTGTGTAAAAATGATGCAGAAAAACTAGTCCATGCATGTGTTACTTCTAGGCTGGATTACTGCAATTCCTTGTTATCAGGGTCTTCAAAAAAGTCCATTAGGACTCTTCAGCTGATCCAGAATGCTGCAGCACATGTTCTTACAGGAACCAGAAAAAGAGATCATATTTCTCCTGTCTTGGCTTCTTTGCACTGGCTTCCTGTTAAATCCAGAATAGAATTTAAAATCCTTCTCCTTACGTATAAAGCTCTTCATGGTCAGGCCCCATCTTATCTTAAAGAGCTTTTAGTACCTTACTGCCCTACCAGAGAACTGCGCTCCCAGAATGAAGGGTTACTGGCAGTTCCTAGAGTCTTGAAAACTAGAATGGGCGCTAGAGCGTTCGGCTATCAGAGTCCTCTTTTGTGGAACCAGGTTCCAGTTTGGGTCCGGGAAGCAGACACCGTCTCTATATTTAAGAGTAGGCTTAAGACTTTCCTTTATGATAGAGCTTATAGTTAGAGTAAGTCCACCCCTGGTTGTGCTGCTATAGGCCTAGACTGCCGGGGGAGGCATCATGATGCACCGAGCTCCCCTTTCCTTTCTCTCTCTCCCTCCCGGTGCAACCTCATTCCATTAACAATGTTACTAACTGGACTCTCTCCCTTCCCCGTAGTCGTGTGCTTTCTCGTCCCCCTTCTCTCTTCTCTCTCTTCCTAACACTTTCTGCAGATATTCCTGGCTCTGGAGCTGTGGGGTCTGGATCTGTGGTTGGGAGTCTCCTCCTATCACTTCCTGCAGGTGTTCCTAGAGCTGTGGAGTCTGGATCTGTGGTTGGGAGTTTCCTGCTGCCCCCATGTTCCTGCTCATCATTAGCATTAATATCATTGCCATTTTTAATCTATTCTACGTGTTGCTGTGTTGGCTGCCCCTCTCTGCTCCTTCTGTCCTTCTCTCGCCCTCTCTCTCTCTCTTGCTCTCTCTTTCCCCTCACCCCCAACCGGCCGAGGCAGATGGCCGCCCACCCTGAGCCATGGTTCTGCTCAAGGTTTCTGCCTGTTAAAAGGAAGTTTTTCCTTGCCTGTGTCGCCTAGTGCTTGCTCATGGTGGGAATTGTTGGGTTTCTGTAGTTAACTTCAGAGTAAGGTCTGACCTGCTCTGTTTGGAAAGCGCTGTGAGACAACTGTTGTTGTGATGTGGCGCTATATAAATAAAATTGAATTGAATTGAATTGTGTTTGTGTACACATATGTATACTGAGGTAAGGTTTTTGAAACACTGATTAATAGTATTCTTTTTCAGTCTTATACATTTGTGTGAACGACAGCTCTTTTTAAAGTGACAGATTTCTGAAGTACAAGACCTTATAAGTAAACACACACACACACACACACACACACACACACACACAAACACACGCACACACTTCTGAAGCCCAGACTCACCATGTGAGTCCAGAAACTTTTGAATATGCAAACTTTGATTTTCTTTGAGTTGTATTTTTAATATTCATAGTAATTGTATACATTTGTAAAAAAAAAATGCAAAAGAATATATTCACTTTGTTCAAATACTTTAGATATTTTTTTATTTATTTCATTCGTTGATTATGTTAGTTGAAAGCCAAAAGATAAACAACATATGCGTGCGTTGTGAAAAATGTTCTTTAGTAATTACATTAAATGTCTGTTCTTGTCCTTAATCTAAATTTACAAGCAACTTTGATCTCTGAATGTTGGATATATATATAAATTAACTTTTTGATCATAGTACCCCCTTAAATATCTATAGTTTATTTCTAATTTCCTGAAGAGATCTAAACATTACTGATTCCAACCTCAAAAATCTGAATTGGTACGCAACAATATTCGTCATAAGTGTTAAAGATTATTTTCACAGGCAATGTTACGCATTGGGTGAAGACTGAATCCAAAAGCAAGAAGGACTGCAGGATAAAAGAATTGAAGGGATTCTTTGAGGTAGAGTGGAGGTATCACTGAGAGGTAAAAATCTGGGGTTGGAATCCAGGAAGCTGCTGGTATTTAACAGGGACCAGATTAAAGATGTTCTGCAGGTGTGATGCTGTGCAGACTTCCACACTGACCCGCTCAGCCTGAAACCACCCAGAGACAGAAAAGAACCAGCCAAAAAGCATAAATACCAGGCATCATTTTGCACAGGTTTCCTCACAGGATTTAACGTTCACTGCAATCAGAGCATTGATTTAACATAAATGATTTATCTTATATGGACCTAAATGTGTCTTTATTTCAAGTCCACAAACTTCCTAGCAAAATAAATCCAGACTAACTAAACATTGAACAGTAAAATAGCCAAATGCTGCCATCTAGTGGATTCTTTGAAAAGGAGCATTCATGTCAGATGCGTGACATGAATGTGTGTTCACTTCTACTATCACTTTTATTGGGAAATTCTTAATGCTATTTGTCACAGATGAGCCTTTTGGTCAAAACTGAACAAAAACCTGGTAATTTAAAAAAAAAAAAGCTTTGATATCAAATCTAAACATGAGTTGCACGGCGTTGTGGTGGTTAGCCCCAACACCGTTGCCTCACAACAAGAAGGTTCTGGGTTTGAGTCCCCGGGGGAACCAGGACATTTCTGGGAGGAGTTTGCATGTTCTCCCTGTGTCTGTGTGGGTTCTTTCCTCCCACAGTCCAAAAACTTGCATGTTAGGTTGATTGGACATTCCAAATTGCACTTAGGAGTGAGTGTGAGTTTGTGTGGTTGTCCTTGTATGTCTTGTGTGTCGCCCCGTGATGGACTAGTGGACTGTGCAGGGTGTACCTTGTACTTTGAGGGTAGCCTCCTTCTCAGCGTAGATTTCCTTTGACAGTTTCCTCTATTTGAGGGTTGCCTCCCTTTGAGGATCGCCTCCCTTTGCGGGTAGCCTCCATTCTGGGGTAGGCTCCCTCTGGGGTAGCCTCCCTTTGCTGGCAGCCTCCCTTTGAGTTTAGCTTCCATTTGCCTTCGGTCAGGGGGACGGGTGCCGACGGTTGGTTGTGCCTTTACACCTATCAGCAGTTCAGACCACCCACCTTTTATGGAGCCATTTAGAGGGTTCTGGAGAGCGCCCCTCCCAGGGACCCACTAGTTCTGCTGGGGGACCTCAGTGCTCACATTGGCAATGACAGTGAGACCTGGAAGGGTGCGGTTGGGAGGAATGCCGCCCCAGCTTGAACACGAGCCGTGTTTTGTTGTTGGACTTCCGTGCTCATCATGGACTGTCCATGTTCAAGCATAAGAGCCATGTGAGTTCATGGCACCAGGACACCGTAGGCTGCAGCTCGATGATTGACTTTGTTGTCGTGTCATCTGTGGCAATATGTCTTGGACACTCGGGTGAAGAGGGGGACGGAGCTTTCCACTGACCACTACCTGGTGGTGAGCTGGCTCCGTTGGTGGGAGAGGATGCTGGTGAGGTCTGGAAAGCCCAAAGGTATTGTGGGGGTCATCTGGGAGCACCTGACAGAGTCACCCATGATGAGCTTTAAGTCCCACCTTTAGGAGAACTTTGAACGCCTTCAGAGGGAGGGTGGGACTTTGAGTCTTAATGGGCCATGTTCTGTGCCTCCATTGCTGATGTGCGTTCCTTGAGCTGTGGTCTCCAGGTTGTCAAATCCTGTCCTGGTGAGGACCCTCGAACCTGGCGGTGAAGGAAGCCATCAGGCAGAAGAAGTCCAATTGGGCCAGTATGGCCTCTGGGACTTCCGAAGCAGCTGTTAAGTATTGGTAGACCAAGCAGCATGCGGCCCAACTAAACCAAATGTTTAGTTGGTAAATGTCCTTCACATCCACACTCTAAATTAAGGACCAAGAGAGATAACTGTTGCTTCAATGCAGCTTTAATACCATTATGTCTGAAACTGCTGAAAAGTATTGGATCCAACTTAATTTTCTCCGCCGATTATGATCTGAAACGCTTGTTTGAACGGTTGTCTCTGTTGTCATTACTCTGTAGATAATTCAGAAGCCATATGTTCCATTTAACCTGAGTAGTGTTGTGATTGGATGTCACCATTGCAGAGTTAAAGAAAGAAGTAAAAAACTAGGGCATGGGAGGAGTGTGGAGAGGCCAAGGAAAATGTAGGGCTTTAATTAGATTCTGGTCCATCATCTGGGGACCTCGGGTTGGGCATTCTAGTCTCAGTTGTTCCGGTCAGGGATATGGAGTTGGATGGGGAGATTGGGGGGCTCTCCAAGGTGACATAGGGGTTGGAGTCCACACTGCTCTGGTGGTGGATCTCATACATTGGAGTAAGTAGGGGCTCCTTCCAGGACAAGGACAGACTGGATTTGCGATTCCCTGCAAAAAGTGAGACGCTCTTTCAGCACACACAGTCGTGGCAACCTGTGCACAGCATTGTTGCCAATGGGACTTCTTTTCATTGCATCAGTGTGGCTTTCACTGTCATGGCTGGTTTCTCTGACATGTAACCCAGTCAACCAAAGGATCCATTGTGGGCTTGTGTGCACATAGAAAGATAGGATTTGAATGAGTTTGGAGTAGAACACATTCAAATATCAGCAGTTTGGATGCCAACTTCAGATCATTTTTAGGGACTCTCTCTTCCCTGCAGCTTTACAGTGCACCTGATATTGTGTGAAAATGACATCAGACATTTGCCACAGAGGCCCAAGATGGGCATATTTTCAGAGATTTGGTATTAAAATATTGGTCCTGGGTGGCTAAACGAGTTAGCTCAAGATTCCTCAAGAGTTGCTCAAGATTCTGCATGTTGCAGGGTTTTATATCGTCACTACAGCTAAACCTTTAGTAACATAAATTGGAAATATTTATGGAAGACAGAATTCTGTCCAGAACGTCCATTCATTTTTTGGGGTTTTAGAGTGACCAAAATGATTCAATGAAGACCATTTAGAAAGTGACACATTCAGCTTTTAATGTATATTACAGCTTTCATACCAATTTACATTTGAATAATTTCCGGTTTTATTCAATGACACATGCAGAAAATATAATCAGTGTATGTAATAAGTGTCCTTCCAACTTTCACATTGAGTTAAGGGAAGACCTTCTTCTTTAAGGACACTCCTGAAAGCCTCATCCGACAGCAAAGATTGTACATGAGGACTGGTCTGATTGTCTGATCTCTGATCCCATAGATGAGTGCACTCAGACATCTGGGAAGAATAATCAATAACACATAAAATAAATTCTGGATGCGCAAAAGCACACCTTTGAAAACAAGCCTTGAAACAGCATATAGCAGCGGGTTGTGAATGGTTGAGGAGATGATGAGGCCCAGCTGTAGCAGATGCATCAGCAGAGTGTTACGAGCCTTAAGAGCTGAAGCTTTGTCAGTGGAGGCCGACCTGGCAGCTAGAATTACAACAACATAGGTAGAGCTGATGGCCAGAGCAGCAGAAACAAACAGAAAATAGGTGTAGGCTGCCTCATAATCATAATAAAGGGGTGACAGAGACATGATAGCTGTGTTACAAAAAGTGTTCATTTGCAAAGTTTCTAGCTTATCAAAGGGAAATTCTAACAGCAAAACTATTTGAATGAAGACATTTACCAGACAGATGGCCCAAACCAGCATTACAGCCACTGCTGTGTTTCTGATGGTGACGATGGCAGCGTGCCTCAGAGGGTAACAAACTGCCACACATCTCTCCAAAGACATCACCACCAGCACCAGAGGAGACACCGGGTTTGTGAGGTTACCCAGCATGAAGAAGACGCCACACACAGGATACGTCAGGAATATCCTGCCGATAGACAGTATGT